CAGTTTTTCTTATCTGTGTTCCTCAAATGGAGAAGGCCTACGATGCTACGTGGAGGTTTGGAATATTGAGAGACCTCTCACACATAGGTATACATGGTAATATGTTCAGTGTCATTGAAAGCTATCTGTCTGATCGTACATTCCGCGTTAGAGTGAGCAGTGTTCTGTCCCGAACATTTGTACAGGAAACCGGAGTGCCACAGGGTGGGGTGCTCAGCTGTACGCTCTTTATTATAAAAATGATTTCTCTCCGTCTGTACATTCCACGTAATATCTTTTATTCAACATATGTCGACCATGTGCAGATAGGTTTTCAATCGTGTTCTCTTGGGATCTGTGAGCGACAGGTTCCGCTCGCCTTTAACAAGGTATCCAAATGGGCTGATGAAAACGGGTTCAAACTGAACCCACAAAAAAGCACCTGTGTCCTTTTTTCACGAAAAAGAGGTTTGCACCCTGATCCTGAACTGGTCGTTAAGGGTAAGCGTCTACCTGTAAACACAGAACATAAGTTCCTAGGTATAATTCTAGATGCGAAGTTAACCTTTGTACCGCACATAAAACATCTTAAAAATAAATGCTTGAAAAAAAATGAATATCCTAAAGGTGCTGTCACGAACAACGTGGGGCAGCGACAGAAAGTGCCTCATGAATCTGTATAGAAGCCTCATTCGCTCACGCCTTGAGTATGGGGCAATAGTCTATCACTCTGCCACGCCAAGCGCCCTAAAAATGTTGGACTCTATTCATCATCAAGGCATCTGCCTGTCCACAGGCGCCTTTAGAACAAGCCCGGTTGAAAGCCTTTTTGTAGAATCGGACGAGTGGTCACTCCATCTGCAGAGAACATATTCTTCCTTCATATATTTCCTTAAAGTAAATGCGAACAGTGAGGAACCCGCATATTCCACCATCAAGGACCTGTCCAGCTCTCAACTTTTTTGCAATCGACCCGCAATGTCACGCCCTTTCTCGCTGTGTGTTAGAGACCTAGCTGAAAATACAGATGTCCCGTTGCTTGCATACCACCTCAACCCCCCCCCCCCCCCCTCGCTCTGCGGCTCCCGCCATGGCAGTGGCAGGTTATAGACTGTGACACATCTTTCGTAGCTGTCACAAAGCATGCCTCCCCCATACACATTCGGATGTATTTCTTAAAGCTGCAACATAAATATGACTGTCCAGAATATTATACTGATGCATCCAAGTCCCATACTGGCGTGTCCTATGCGGCGATTGGCCCATCCTTCTCGGATGCCGGCGTTCTGTCCACCCACACAAGCATTTTTACAGCCGAGGCTTACGCGCTATTCGTAGCCGTTAAACACATCAAAGAATTGAATACGCCAAGGGTAGTTATATACACAGACTCCCTGAGTGTCGTAAAAGCGTTGAAAAATCTGAAAAAACACAGAAACCCTATAATTATATCCCTCTATTCAATACTCTGCGCGGCCTATGCTTCCAAGCAACATATCGTCGTATGCTGGGTGCCAGGACACCGCGAGATCGAAGGAAATGTGTTGGCCGACCAGCTCGCCACGTCAATTACCGGAAGCACTGCCAACTCTTCAGTTGCTGTCCCTATAATGGACCTAAAACCAAACATACGGAAAAAGCTCAGGGCTTACTGGCAGAAGTTATGGGATCTACAAACTCATAACAAGTTACACTTGATTAAACCATACCTCGGTAACTGGCCACCCATGTCGAAAACGCGCCGTACAGAGGTCAGTCTCTGTCGGCTTAGAATAGGACACACACATAGCACGCACACACACCTTTTGTTTGGTGGTGACCCACCCAGCTGTCACAGGTGTGGCCTTCCACTTACCGTACTCCACATACTCCTTGAATGCTCTGAGCTAGAGGCTTACAGGAAAAAACATTTTCCACTAGAGTACATGGAACACATACCCCTTCACCCAGCTATGTTTATTGGTCGCGAACCTCTTTTTAAATATAATGCATTGAATGCATTCTTAAAGGAAGTAAATACTTTCCATGTTATCTACTCAAGTGATGGTAGCACGGCCTCTGAAAGGAGGCTGCTGCTGCGGATGCTACATCCAAAAGAGCACCTGTCTCCCGGCCCTTATGATCAAGGGCGCTGGCGAGAAATCGGTGCTAATATAACGCTCCTATTTTATGATGTTATGATAACTAAAGACTCATTCTCACCAGGCATGCTTCACTTCACTTTCATGATTTTAATAAATATATGTCTTACACACCTTTAGAGCGCAGAATTTTAGGCCCTTTTACAGCCATTTACCATAACCATTGCGCTGATCCGATATCATTTCCTGGCGCTCTTTGGCCATCAATGGCCCTTGCGCAATTAAACAACATATATCATCATCATGGCTACTTGAAAGTTGGACGGCCCTTTTAAGTACAAATATTGCCCTCAAATCAATTCATTTTTTTAAGCTTTAAAGCTCGTTGTGATGGCTTACAGGGGTATTATATGCTCTAAGTATAATAAATTTTAAAATGGTACATATTTTAAGGGTTATGACTCGCATCCTAGGGAAAGTCAAATCCTGCTACTACTCAAAGTTGTTTTCACTCCTTTTGAACGAAAAAAGAAATGGCATTTGTATAGAGGCCCTATTTCAGTTTTTTTTTAATATCGTGCAGGTTAGTTGGGTCATGATAAATATGCCCATTTTTCTTTGTGTCTTGTATACTATTCGAATTCGATTTAAAATAATTTGACCAAAATCACTTTTTGCTACGAATTTGCTTTGAACCTAAAATTAACTATTTGCACGAGCCTACTCAAATCGGCTAATTGCTGTGGACATGGATGTACACTCAAACCTCAATATAACAAACCTGGATATCACAAAATATTGGTTATAACAAAGTAATTAAAAAAAAAGTCTTGGGATAGATATAGTGTTCGGAATATACCTTTGTAATGAACTTTTTTTCAAGTAAAATAAAACTTTGTTATAGTGAAGTTTGAGAGTATAATGCTGAAATTTTGGTGTATGGCATCATTTGCAGAAAGAAGAAAAAGCGATTTCAAGCTGACCTAAGAACTAATTGTAAACTCTAGGCCGCATGCTGCGATATACCGTATTTACTCGAGTCTAGGCCGACCCCCATAAGTCCGAAGCCCAGAAAAAACTACACAAACTTGCCTCGAATGAAGGCCGAACGAAACAGCGAAGACAGCATTCACAAAGAGAAAACATTTGTTGAATATGAAGCTGAAACAAAGCAGTTTGTTTGTGATGTTAATAACTCGAGAAACATACAGCCTCTAGCCCCGTTGTGTGTGTGTTCATTTGTTGTTCTTTTCACACTGCTTCTAGTTATTTGCATCATAAAGATGCCACCCTCATTCCAAGCCATCGTTGCTGCTTCCCTTGCCGCTGTCTTCAAACAGTGCGCAATCCTCGGTGCCATCATGCGCACTGGGTATACTGCACTTCCTAAAAGAGCACACAATCAAAGACTCCGTGGCAGAGACAACTTGCCTTTTATAAGCGGCACTATAATAACATCACTTGTTTTGGCACCATTCAGCTATGCCACACACAGACCACTTAAAGCGCTGCTCGAAATGACAAATGGCTCGCCTCTATACTCGCCACAAAGATAAAACTTGCGGCCTCGTGTGCGCTTTAGCCAGGTGTTGGATCGGCTACTAACAGCTTCAATACTGCCTAAAGGGCTCTAGTTGTACACCATGTTTCTCAATGAAAAATGGCGCGTTTTTCAAAATAGCTGACTCTAAAGTTTGATTCAAAGAAATTTGCAAATAACTATTGGCCTAGATTTGAATAAATACGGTATAATATTTGTCTTGTGTGTTCTTGGGAGCTGCAACTACTAATTCGCAGAGTTTCAGACCAGAGTTTTTAAAGCTGAATTACTTATTTTGTACTTTCAGCGAAGGGCCAGTAAACAATCACAAAGTCAAGAAATTGTAATTAGGAGAAATGTGCACGCTTTTTCTCGAGCATTCTTGCTGCTGCAAGGATTTTGTGAATACGTGCTATGATGAAGTTACAGGGGTTAGAACATCTGTTTCAGCCGGTTTCAAAATCTCGCGCCGTCTCGCCACCATACTTCATAGGGAGGGAGAAGACTTAACCCGTAGTCGTGACTTCGGCCACTTCAGCAATGTGACAAGTCAGCAATATGTCATTGGCGCACAGCCAATGACCAAGCAGGGTTCCCGCCACATGAGCACGTGTCGTGGCAGCGCAAAAAGGAAGCTTGGAGCCAGGAGCACCCTTCTCCTAGTGGTAAATTAGCAAAACACCTCTCCATTTCTAAAGCTTTCATTCTGGCAATACCACTTTTTCTGGTGGTCTTGGGCTCTGGAAAACTGCAGTGGGCAGCAGAGAAAAATGAAAATGCAGACTGTGCGGCCAAAACTGTCTGACCAAAGGGCATGGGGTCATTTCGTACGGCAAAAGACCAATTGACAAGCTCAGTGGTACATCAAATTGCTGAAGAGGCAAGTTTACGATACTGCACGCATACAAGGGGGATTAGCAAGGGGAAGGAAATAGGCGTGTGAAACGTTTTTGTAATAGAGGGTCTCAAAGGCATGCAGGGCTGTAATATTAATCCAGCAAGGCGTTTGTCTCAATTTTGAGTTTGTGTGTAAAGACGGGTTACAGTCGCAGCATTTTTATGAAAAAACTATTCTTCCTTAAAAAAAACAAAAAACACTATTGTACGCATGTCCATCATAGGTTAGTCACAGCACTTCCACCTGCACTTCTGCCTTTAAAAAGCTCCAAATTTCTTGCAAATAGCAAGGGTAGGTGGAGTGTGTGTGTGGAAAGCAAAGTAAAAAGGTGTGTCTATACAGTGTGCGAGTGGATGGGCAAGAAAAGGAATGGAAAAAACTACAAATTACATTTTCTGGTTTTACTTGTGGTTGCGCCTTTTTCTGGCTCCCTGTGCGTTTTTCATTCATGCTAGCTCACTAGGTGCATCATCACTAATGGCAAATTTCTCTTATCTGACAGGGTACAGCTGCCATACAGTACTGCTTTGGTGCAGTATGGCGCTTGTTGCTAAGCCTTCCACCCTCTATTCAACTCTCGGAAGCTTTGGCCACAGGCAATGCAATGCTTGACCTTCCCCACATCTTACATGCAATTGTCTGGGTTTCGAGATTCGGGCATAAAAACTTCACTGTCTGGATCAAGGTATGGATGAATGATTTTCTTGCTTGATTTCAGTATTGTCTCTTGCTGCCTCTGCTCTAGATTTTTGCTCTTGCTTTTTTTGTTTTTTTTTTCAGGCTTTAATGGTCACCTTTTGATAAGTAGAAGTTGACATTGGTCATCTTGATGAGGAATCTCAGATATTGAATTAGTTAAGAAAAAAGGTCTTTATTCCGCAAGAGATCAGAAAATTGAATCAAGGCATTGCTGCATATATTATTGTATCTTGGCCTTTGTTATGCTGCTATTACAGAGATATGGGAGCTTGATAAGTGAATTTTTGTTTTGGCAGCTCATGAACACTGTTGCTCGAGCTACAATCAGTAATCGGGGATTGCATGAGTGACCATCACACTCTATTTTTCATATTCTCTGCCCTACTTTTACTTTCAAATTAAATTAAATATGTCTTCTATCTTGCAAATATGGTAAATTTGAAAATGTTTTCTGTAGTTCTTTTGAAATACTCATGGTTGTTCATGTGTGAAATGCTGTCTATTTTTCTTTCAGGATTCTCTTGTGAAGCAAGGCATGACCCCACAGCGTGCAGAAGCCACTGTGCACCAAGTCACAACAAATGCCAACCAGCTTCTGTTCGATGTGAGAGTGTTCAAACAGCTGGCTAGCAAGCAGGCAAGACTCTCTAGCTTATTTTTTCTCTCTGTCACTCTGTCTCTTGGGGTTCTCTCTCACACTGAGAATAATGAACACACTACACACTGCACATTGTGTGCGGTGCATATACACATTGAGCACATGTGCAAATAAACAAATGTCAGTGGTGGTCCAACAGTGCCAATTGCACCATTTTGCTGCAATTTCATATTCCTGGGCCTTTTTGTGCACATTCGCATACAGCTGGCGCCAACGGTGCCAAAATTCACTAGTAGTCCACCTGTTCACACTGCATGCATCAGACAATGGAGGCGGAAATGTCGTAGGCCCGTGTGCTCAGGTTTGGGTGCACGTTGAAGAACCCCAGGTGGTCAAAATTTCCGGAGCCCTCCACTACGGCGTCTCTCATCATATGGTGGTTTTGGGACGTTAAACCCCACAAATCAATCAATGCATGCATCTGACAATTCAAGGCCCAAAAATATTTTTGGTTACACTACTCGAGCTTTTCCGCCCCGCCGCGGTGGTCTAGTGGCTAAGGTACTCGGCTGCTGACCCGCAGGGCGCGGGTTCGAATCCCGGCTGCGGCGGCTGCATTTCCGATGGAGGCGGAAATGTTGTAGGCCCGTGTGCTCAGATTTGGGTGCACGTTAAAGAACCCCAGGTGGTCTAAATTCCCGGAGCCCTCCACTACGGCGTCTCTCATAATCATATAGTGGTTTTGGGATGTTAAACCCCACATATCAATCAATTACTCGAGCTTTTCCGTAATGCCCCCGATGCCTCTCGATCCATTCCAGCGATGCACTTTTAGCATTATATGCAGCCTTTTTTAACAAAAGTTTTGCATCACGATGTGTGCCTCTATTGTTGAAAGTTTACAAATCGTCTCATTTATTTTTTATGGGACTGTCGATAACCTGTAGAAAAAGGATTTTTATTCTTCGTGGGTTACTCTACGTACCGTAATATAGACACCGCGGCCAAGCGGCAACGAGCTATCTGTACTGCGCAATGTAAACATCTTCAAGCAAATGAACATACGGCTGCACTAAAGTTTGATATTTCACAATAAAAGTTGATGCCTCTTAATCATGCTGCACAACATCATCTTGATCACGAAACTTATGTCACACAGTGGCTAGCCAGTGCATGTAGAACTGAGTCGCGCTGTCTGTCACAAATGAAGAACAAGTGCTCTCGCACGTCGGAAACACCATTTGAACAATCAGTGTTGTCATCAATCGACAGGAAAAAAAGAAAAAGAAAAGGAAAAAAGTCGTCCTGGCATGCAAATCTTCCAGATTCCTTCCCAGGCCTTTTTCTGTTTGCAAATGGCCACACATTGATGAGCTTCGAGCGGCGCTGCTGCGGGGATTTCTCTCTGTTCACGGACTACTTAACAAGCCACATTAATTAAGCCTGTTAACTATACTGTTAAGTCTAGCCACATTAGTCTTCAGTGCTTGAGTTTGAAAACATCCCTCTCGGGCCCACTATTAGGGCCCCTGTTACGACTGATTCAAGGAGTGGGGATTGTGGGAGAAAACGGGGGTTTGGCTGTTCAGACCGTGCTCCCTTTCTCCCAGAACCTTTAGGGAAACAAAAAAGAAAAGAAAGAAAACCACCAGCACCCCTTTCATCTAAAATTTCGAAAACACGGGGTGTTGGTACCAGTTCATTATGTGCCAGTTTTTTAATAAGATTTTTCTAAATATTTGAAATATCTGAAGTGCTCAACCCAAAGCCTTTAGCAGCGAGCCAAGATTGCAATCGGTGCGCACACCTCTAAAAACTATCAAGTACTGTAGAACTGATTCGTAGTGCGTTGTGGCAATTATTGCATTCACTATCTACGCAGGCAATTTCAAACAGTATCTTCTTATTCGTAAGAAGTTTTATTCGCCATTTTAGACTGCTGATTTTCCGAATACTAGGACGTTTTTTTTTTTAGTTACTTTATGACGCCTGTCATTCGTAGAAACCGTACATGCACGCTTGTCCGGTCACTGATTGTTTACTTCAGCACATCTAGTGCAGTGCAGTGACACTAGCGTGCAACTGTAGTTCGTGGTAAGAGCTTGATTAATGGCTGCTCTCTAAGTGTTGGCCTTGTCTTCTTGTTCACATGGCAGCAGCATGTCCAGTACACACAGAATTAAGAATATTCACCAAAAATTTGAACATGTACTGCTCCAAGCAATCATAAATTCCATTTTGTCTGCTCCAAGCTTGCTCCAAAACACAGTTTCTCCCGCTGTGAATCTGCTCTAAAACAGAATTTTCCTTCTCCGAAAATTGCTCCAATTACAAAACTGGCTAGATCACATCTGGAATGTGCTTTATTTACACCTTGTAAACAACCAGCCCACTAGCTGACTCACACAAACATTAAGTGCCAATATAACAAAATTCAGCATTAATGTGCCATTGCCCGACTTTGATTCGTTACTAGAGGTAGACCGTGGGGAGGATAGACGCAATTGCCCCACAGAACGTCTATTGAGCGTTGCTAGCCACAGCCAACCCCGAAAGCTGAGAGGGCAAGCGCTGTTCTCATTGCGCCGTGTATCCTCAACCTCAAGTTGTGCCACCGCAGAACAAAGCGATGGCTGCAGCATGGCCAGCTCTCCACATAAAAATTTAAATTGCAGGAAGTGGCCATCATGGATATACACGTTGCCCTATCTACACATATTTCAAGAAAGAAAAACACTACTAATGAACTGCTACAGAAGCTCTAGGAAGAAGAGGCAGTACTCCGTGCTCCGTGGTTTTAGCGCTGATTTTTCTTGAAATTCGTAGGGTGTTTTCTGGAGTTTAATTTTTGGGAGGAACTTCAACGTTCATTGGAGTAAATTTTTCGTGAATACCCTATTCTCCAAAATTTAGTGTTTAATCTTGCAGTAAAAGTTGTCCTGTGTGCTCTTATTAATTTTATTTTCGATGAAAATATGTTTAATTGTTGCTGACAATCCGGTTTTTCTTCTCTTTCTTATCTTGCTCATTAATTATTCTGTTAATAAGGCTGCACTACCCTGATTTAACACTGCTCTCTACTATGCAGCTTGTTGGGCGAGTTGGAGCTAAGCATTGCTGTGAACTCACTCAAGTGCACTTTCTGGGGGCATAAACTAGACAAGCTGCTTGTCCCCTCTTATCTTGATGAAAAATAACACAATCACAGTCGACGACCGATTTCCTAGACCCTCAAGGGACCACGAAAATGTCCAAGAAATCGGGCAGCCCAGACAAACGAATGCGCGAGAAAACGCATCTTCATTACGGGTATTTTTCGCCGATAGAGAGGGTAACAGCAGGAGTACAATATTCTCGATGAAATCCAGCGAATGCATAGTTTCGGTGGCTCTGAAAAGAACCGTTTATTTAAAAGAAAATAAAAGAAATAAGATGTGGCTCGCAATACTTCATTGGTCAACACTTTGGCCCCAAAAGTCACTGATTTTCTTCTGCACGGCATTCCGCTAGCCCAAAATCATGTCTGCCCTCAGTTTTCAGTTAACCTCATGCTGCTGCTGTACACCGATGACAGTGTCATCAGTGCTTGCATCAACTTCAAGCTTATTGGCTGTGTAGGCTCTGCTTCTTTGACCTCGGTGTCGGAGTCATCGGAATCCTCTGTAACTTGATAAATGATTTCGTCATCTGTCAATTCCGCACACAGCTTGAGGACTTTAGTCAGCGTCTACGAAGCCCTCAAAGGTTATCCCGGCTAAAGAGTTGAAACACTGGCAGCGTGCAGATCGTCGAAGGCAACGTTTGTGGATGGAAGTTCGTCACACACACAGCTCCAGAGAGTCTCTTGCATAACCACTTTCCACGAGTCAGCAAGCATGTCAATGGCAGGCCTGAAGTCAACAGCGTGGCTTTTCTCGCTGTCAGTGCACAGCACCATGCGGCTGAGCACACGTGATTTATGATGTTTCAAGTTAGGGAATCACGCCTTGGTCATGCTTCAAGTTGGGGAATCGCGCCTTGGTCCATCGGCTGCAGGATTGCTGTGGTGTCAATCTGTACAGCCTTTAGGTCCTTGATGTGGCCATGTGCAGAGAAGTTACCCACAAACAGCAGCACTTTTTGATGTTGCTGCTCGCACCTTCTGTCCAGCTTGCGCATGTACTGTATTTACTCGCGTAATCCTCGCACTCGTATAATTTTTGCACCCCCACATTGCCCAACCAAAATAAGATTTTTTTTCCCGAGAGAACTGCCATAATAATGTTGTCTGCTCGTTCCAGCGACTGATGATGATAGCGTGCACCATCTGGTGCCATCTCTTAAGCATCAAGCGTACTATTATTGCACGGAGATTCAATCGAATCCAAGCCAAGCCAAAGTGGCAAGTGCGCGTTGCAGCGAAGGACCGCCGGTAGGTCCTTCGGAGTCTACGAATTTTGTGTTCGCCACTGGTGACGGCAGCTGAAAGCCACCAAGACGCGTTGGGCCTGCCGTGTGCATAAGACTGGGATTGATTGTAAAGTTTATTTCTTCAGAAGGAAACTGCAGATGATTCTGTTAAATAGCCATCAGCCCAATACTGACGTCCTACGCTTACCTTTTGAGGGCTCCTGTTGAATGACGAATGCTACCGCTACGCCCGCAATGCGCACAAGCTTTGCATATGGTATTCTAGTTCTCGACTATTTGCTTGCACTTTTTGTGTCTCTAATAAATCTTGCCTTGTGTTGAACCTGTGCTGTTATTGTTAAGTTTTAATTAGTATTTCTCAAAGCTTGCTGTTAGTTGCTGGTGTGAGAATCCCAATTTGGGGCCACTTCGTTTTCTTTTTCGCTCTGTACATTTTCGTGGAAAGTTTTCCCCACGTAATTCTCATACCCCCTAACTATGCATCGGTTTTCTGTCAAAAAAAAGTGCAAGGATTAGGCGAGTAAATACGGTACACTTTGAATAGCTGCTGTGTCTCCTACGCCTTCTTGTTGGCTTTGTAGTGAACAGTCAGAGGCACTGCCCCCTTGAAACATCTTGGGTGCTTCGACTTCCTTATTACAAGCAGCGGAAGCTTCTCGCTACCTGACATGTTGCTGCCAACGAGGTCAGGGAGCTGCTCCTTGCTGTGCTTGCCGCCATGGCAGGGGTCACCAGCAAATGAAAGCGTTTCATCTGGCAGCAGCTTGTAAAACAGTCCAATTTCGTCGCAGTTGAAAATATCGTCTGATAGAAACTGTTGAAGCAAGAACTACAGCCTTCCATTCTAATATTCGGCGACTACGGAATCGTCGATGGCGCCGCTTTCCCCGCGCATCTTCTTGAATTTCAAGTCATTGCACCTCTTGAAATCGGCAAGCCATCCATCACTGAACTTGAAATCTTTCACATTCATCTGAAGCGCAAAAACATTGATGACAGCAGTCCTAAAATCGGACCAAATTGCGAAATCAGACTCATGGTTGTTGTATCACAAACTGGCTACACCCGCAAGGTAGAATGTCAAGTTGGTCAACTTGCCGTCCTCATCTCATTTGTTGGGGACGCTCACGTGCTCATAAATGGCAAGCTAGTCTTCCACGTCAGTGCCATCGGCGTCAGTGAAAATGGGTGGATCGTGGATCCTAGAAACACCGAGACAATAGGGCGGCATGGGAGGAGGCGTTTGCTGAGAGGCGTCGTGGGGCATGGTAGATGGCAGGGTACGGGATCGAAGCTTCAAGGGCCTCGAATGGGAGCACAGCATTCTCCTCCAATTTTTCAAGGCGTTTATGAACCGGCACTCGGGGATAATGTGCTATGGCGACAGTCACGGCCAAGCACGGACTCGCAGCGCGAGCGGCGTCCTTTCAGAATAGACCCACTAGAAGGCACTCGAGAGTTCGACCCATTTCAAAGTTCTGAGGCTTCACTACAGTTCCAATATTCCAAGCATTTGAATATTCGCACAAGCCTACATTAAATGTATTTTAGATGTCTCGAAGGTTTGAATGTACAAACACATGGACACTAGCGCATACTTGAATACGGAAAGCCTGCGTTTGTTAGTGTTACAAACTGAAAGCTTGTTTTGATAGACGCAAGCATACTTTATGAGGTTGCTACCTCTAATGGATGTTCGCTCAAATGCATTCAATTTATGAATGTTAGCTTTGAAAATACTGTTTGGTCGTTGAAAATGCCCTTAAAATCTGAGTTTATCAGGTGAATTGTCAGATTTTACGGCGGGGTGTTATCAGATTTTTTTCGGATTAATCCAAAAACACAGAGCCCTAGTCATAATTTCCTATGAAAGATCTGTGCATCACGGCGCCACCGTTAGGTGATTGATGCCACTGCACTTGTGGCTTGTCTACTGGCTTGATGTCATGACTCCAGGCCAAGACTGCAGGACTCCATGTCAAGACTGCATGAATGCTAGTAGCAGTCGGCACAAGAGAGTTATTCACACCAACACATGTTCTCGCTGTGAGAACCACATCAGCTGCAGCTGCCAGCCCTTGTTCAAACTGCTGAAGATTGCAAGCAGGACTTGTGTGGGCATTGGCTTGAAACCAGCTGCGCAAGATATCTTCATTGCGTGAGATGTCTCGACTGCAGTTCTTAGCAGGTTGAAAATGTGCCGAGGACAGCCAGCTGTAGGTGATATCTCTTCCACAATGTACACTCGGAATTCTCCCGACAGAATGGTGCAGTAGGGCGAAAGAAAGAAGCCAGGTGTGCATCACTCGCATGGTAGCATGGTAAGTTTAGTTGGCCGAAATACTTTCAGCGGTGACTGAGGCATCCTGTTCAAGGGAACAATAGATAAATTTGTGCAAAGCAACCTCATATTAAGGGAGCAAAGCAATTCATGCACAGCAAGCTAGAATGAGGGAAGCAAAGTGCTGAGTCAATACATTTGCAAGCTTGAGGGGATCACTTTACATTGGACGTTAACTGCATTTGTCTTTGGTAAGTTCTAATAGTGAAAGTTCCAGTGTAAATCGAAGTGAATAGCAAACACTTTTTGAAAAATATTTAAAAATTTTTGAACATTCGCACACTCTTGAAAAATATTTGGTATGAATGATTGAAATTGGGATGCAGGTTATATTTTTTTCTTTTTTGGTGTGTTAGGGGTGTTTGTTACATGCAGGGGTGGGAATATGCAAGCAAATATGGTATCTAGTGCTTACTATGCTCATGTTCAATTCAGCTGTGCCAAGGACCAGCCGATTTGTCAGGTCCTGTCAGTCGTTCTGAACTGCCACATCTCATGGACCTGTTTGTATTGGAGGCCCTTATTGCAAAGCTGCAGGTGTCCATGGATTTCATCCTCTTGAAATCAATGGTAAGTGAGTGTGTAACAGAAGTGTGAAAATTCTGTGAAAGCAAGTGCATTCTGTTGTGTATATGAATTTTTAAAAGTTGTGGCAAAAAAGGTTTTGCATATTTCCTGCAGAAGTTGTGTAAGTATGCATAAAGGCCCAATCACACGCACGTGATTTTTGAGCGACAGGATTCGCTGTCGCAAAGTGCTATCCGTCGCTGTCTCTTTTTGCTTCGCAGGTGTCTGCAAAACTACAAAAGATTGCTTGTTGCTTAGAAATAAGTGTGTTGATTTCTGGCAAAGTGACTGCACCTCTGACCCTCGCTTAGGTTGCACTTTGCTCTTGATGCTTGTTATTCACACGTATTTCAAAGAATGCAAGGTATAGACCACCGACTTTATAGTCGCATCTCACGCAGTAAGTGAAGTAGCGATCGTATTTTGTCATTATTCTTGTTATTGATCGTTTGCTTTGATGTTTTGGTAGTAGCTTGCTGTAATGTAATCGTGCAAGTGCGCGATAGGCTGTCCACCCCGTGATGTGAAAACAGATTATTGTCGTGGTTAAACAAAAGATTACAAGGAAAGAAAGTCTCGAAACTCTTTTATGGCTTCCTTAGGCCACAAAACGCTAATAAATTTGGCATAATGTCATCGATATACTTTTAAACTTCTTTTTGCAGTTTATTGGCATGCACGCAATAGTTTTCAATATAGCAACAACGACTGATGCAAACATGTGGTTGCAGTCGTCTCAACGCAACAGAGCTTGTTCGTTGCTGTTGCTTGTCGTCATCACTTGAAAATTCTGTGCCTGCGGTTGGGCGTGTATCGTCCAAGAAGCTGCCTCCCATGTGGCGACGTTGACTACAACATGCCATATGGCATGATGTGTGACATGACTTGAAAAATCACTTTGGTGTTCAAATCCTGAATGCATACAAAACCTCATGAATATAAGAATGTTTAAATCCTCTCTCTTAAATGTGATAACTGCACGTAACTCTTAGAAAGCTCATATAACTAAGTCTAATGCAATCACTTCCAATCAGCTAGGTGTGAACCCGTTCGATCCTCGCATATTCATCTAAACCTTATCAGTACTTGTTAAACCCTTGCTTTGGTGATGGAATTTTTCTATTTGTACCAAACTTGATCTGCCCACACACATTCCCGTGCTTCAGCACGTTTGAATCGTCCTCGATACACAATCAATCCTAATCGTTCCCATGTAACCATATGACCGCTTATCAGTATATACACTATCATGATTGTCAACGCTGAGATACATGCGGTAAAATCTTGGGGATACATATGTCAAAGGAGAGTGAAAATATTTGTATCACCTGAAAGTTTGTGGCACCAAAAAACTAGCATAGTCCGTTCTGAAACCATGATACAGTTAAACCTGCTTATATTGAACCTACATATAACGAATTCCTCGATATAGCGATGTTTTTTTTTTTATTCTCCGTCGTTACTCTACAGAAGCACATGTTTATGTAACAAGGTAACAGCGGGAGACATCCTTTATATCAAAAATTTTTGCCACGGACAATCTAGGAATTTGCCCGGGATTTTGTCATTTTGGCACAGCGGGAGACGTCCTTTATATAAAAAATTTTTGCCACGGACAATCTAGGAATTTGCCCGGGATTTTGTCATTTTGGCACGAGCATGCATCTTCGGCAGTTGCCCCGCCACCAACGAAGCGCGCACGGTACGTTCGTTGACCCGGCGACTCCCATGAAAGGGTGCAAGGCGGGCAGGCGGGCCTGCGCCCCACGAGCTGGCATTGCCGCCGTTCTTGCCGCCACGAGTGAATGCGCGGATGTGCCCGCCCCCCCCTCCTTCTAAATCAAAACAAAAAAAGTTAAAGAGAAAGAGAAGTACTTATGCATTGGCAGTGCCACGGTCTTGGTTAACGTCGCCTATGTTAGGGCAGCGCTGCATATGGAGGACGCTTTACTGAACAGTTTTCCTTGACATTCATGTTGTACGCTCTTCGTTTTAGACACGCGTGCATGGTTGCATCTGTGCGCATGGGGTGGTCCGCGACAAAGTTTGGCTTTTTTTTTTATGCAGACAAACGTGTCGTTCCGCAAATATTTATGGAGCTGTGGTTATGGGTTATGTTTTGTTCAAAATTTCGGTTTTCCTTTCCCATTACATTTATTGGGCTAGTGGCACTGCAGTGTTGCAATTTCAATTATTTGGCGTGTCCAGAATTTCAGCACCTAGGCTTTTGAATTGCAACTGTACACAGGAACAGCTATGAAAACGAAGGAGTTTCTTACTAGCGTTTATCCGTTTTTCTACACATTTGCTATTCCTGCATTTTAAATCAGAAACTTCTAAACTTTTCTGTGTTTTCCTTTCGTTATATTTACCCAGTATGATTTATTTCTCACCTTTCATCACTAGAGTGCACATACCAGGGATACTGCTATTTCTATTCATGTTTTCGTTGGACGTTCAGTGTGATAAAAGAAAAAGAATTGGATCGGAAAGAAAATTGTTACCCAGTTTGTGTCCTGGAACAAAACAAAAACAAATTTTTTTTTTTTTTACAGAGTGAAAGCATTAAACTCAAACGTTGTCTTTCATTCCCGAATGAAACCAAAATATTTTTGATGGTTTTTCAGTTCCTGGGAAAATTGTCATGCAGGTTAGGCAGTATGAGCAATAATGCAAATCTTGAGGTACTGTATTAGGGGCATATCTAGGACAGGAATTCCTAAGTAAAGTTGGGTTGAAATTTGGTTAAAAAAAATGTAACAGACCTGTTTTTAATAATGCAAGAGAACTTTCGTACGTATTGCACAAGACATTATGGAGAGGAAACTCTTGGGGCTGAAGTGTGCTTTATCAAAACAGCGGTCTCGCATATTGGAAAGTACACCACTAGATGACTGGCTGCTTCTGAGATCATGCAGACTCCCTTGACAGAAATCATTGGGTCTGCTCAGAAAATTAGTAATTCAATTCACTTTTTAGAAAATTATATTTGGTCTAGTTGGTAGGACTGTGGTGCAGCAGTGAAGTATTAGCCATGCCAATTGCGCCAAACTGCACGGAAAGATTAATCCTGCTACATCCTGCTAAATTTCGACTATTCCTCGTCAAACGTGGCGTTTTCACATTTTTAAATTGAAACTAGGATCTCATGAAGTAGAAACGCCATGTTACCGCGACTGTGAGTATGCATAGATGGAGGAAAACGTTCGTGCTTGTGCAGTGCTTGTTGGATTACTGTTCTATTACACCATAAGCTGCTTGAGTTTCCTCAAATCAAATGTGGCTTGTGCATTGTGCATACCCTCATTTTAGTAAACGATGGGAGTTGCTGCTTTCATAATCAAAAAGTTGTTTTCATACATATACTCCTTCGAAAATGTAACCACTGGAAAGCGTTTAGTTGACTCTGCAGCAAACCACGCATCTGCGGCTGCTACTGATGGGTCAATTGCGCAGTTAGTGCTCGCTAGGTGTAGCGTGTGGACTTGCAACTCGATTGGCATGCCGCCCCGGGAAGTTCGCCTCTAGCAAACAGGACATTGAGGTCAAACAATATTTTATTCTCAAGCTCAACCGAGGGCAGCGCTCGGGGAACCAAATTTAGGTGAACAGCCACAACCATGGTGCTAGAAGTGCTTGGGTAGACCAACGGCGCCTCCAAAAACAAAACAGCTTTTGTACTCGTTTTGTGGAGAGGGCCCGAGATGGAGGCACAGTAACCGTGGCTGATGTGAGTTATGCATGGTCGCTTCAGGGCCACGGGCGCTGCTCAAAATGGAAAAAAACGAACAAAAAAAAAATACTGTCTCCGCTCTATAACGAGCGCAAAAACAAATAAACAAAAGCAGTGAACAAATCCGAAATTTGGACGCTACAGCTGCAGATATCAGTGGAAAATGTTCAATTCACAGCCTCGTTGGTCTGCGATAGGTGGATGCTTGTGCATTTAAACAGGTGTCATTGAAGTTTCATTTAATATAAGAGAAGAAAGTTCTGTTTGTTAAAGTAATCTTTGCTGAAACAAAAATAACCTATGGTAGTATCACAACAAAAAAACATACGGTCGATTTCTGTTGCACCAGTTGCATTTTTATGGAGGCTACATGCTGAGACCCGTGCACTGTGTGGTGTCAGTGTATATTAAAAAACACCACATTTCCAAAATTTCTGGAGTCATTCTACAGCATACCCCCTAATCATATCAGGATTTCAGCTCATAAAACCCCAGATATTCTCATTAACAAGCGTATTTCTCTCACGGAGAGAAGACTGCACATGCAGGCAGGGATGCTTAATAGAAAATTATCATCTCACAGTGAGGAGAGAGAGAGAGAGATAGAAAACTTTATTAAAAAGTCAGTCAAATGTTCAGGCATGTCCCATCGCCCCTAGCTGTCTGCTGGAATCGCTTGGGACGCGGCAGCAGCAAGGGCTTGACTGATCATGTCGCGCTGGACATTGGGGGTCTGGACTGCGGAGTAGGGCCTCCCAGGATTCTACAGTGTGAGAACCACATGACTTCAGCATGTCCACACCATGTCGACCAAATTCGCTACCTCATCACAAAATTTATACTGGGACTGGAAAACTGCGGGGTGCCACTTGCTGTAAAGTGCGGGGTTTGGAAAAACCCCGGTCTGTAACTTTCGCCACAAAACCTCGTTTTTTTACTCAGTGAGTTGTCCGCTCTCGGGTATATTTGCCGATTCAGCTTGTAGTGTGCGACAATTTCGTGGTATGTACGCATATCCTCGCTTCTTTGTTCGGTAACTTGGGAGGTTCCAGGGGTCGACCGGTAGGTGAGACCTCGGGCAACCGAATGAGCCTCCTTGTTCCCTCTAAGTGCCTGGTGAGCTAGAGCCTAGACAAGCAGAACCTGCTCTTTGGGTACTCCTACCATGTTTAATATACGGGCGGCAGTCTCCGACACCCTTCCAGATTCATAATTTCTCACGGCGTTTTTGGAGTCGCTGATGACCACCCTGACCCCCTTTTGCCTGATG